ATGGAAAGTTATGGGACTTATGCCGTTATTGTGGTCTGATGTCCCTGGGCCGTTCTATCACTATCAGTATCAGTATCAACTTCAATCGTGGCGCTTTTTGCAGACCCTCAATACTTCCGGTGCAATTTAGCTAGAATTTACCAGTAGAGGGCGGTCGTAACCGGTCCTGCTAATCACCGAAATCACATAAAATGAATGGCAATAGTAATTATAATTAGCTCGAAATCACTCGTAATGATTCGAAATGCACGTGATACATTATTACAATTATTGTGCGCGTGTGCGTGTGCACATAAACACCTGTGCACGTGTGCACGTACACGTGCGTGCGTGCGTGCGTATACTATATGCACGCCACGTGTGCGTGCGTGCGTATATGCACGTGTGCGCGTGCGTGAGTGTGCACGTTCACGTGCGTGCGTGTGCACCACTGATCTCTATAATATAATCAGGAGTAGATAATAGAAGATCTTCTATTATCTACTCCTGATATAATCTATAATTATATTATAGAGATCAGTGGTGTGCACGTACATGTGCGTGCGTGCGTGTGTGTGCACGTGTGCACGTGGCTTTTTGCATTTTTAATGTTCATACTGTGATTCTGAAATATTTAAATAACATATTAAAATTAGAAACGTTAGAAAATATAATTATAAATGAACAAATAAGATGAAAAACAATAATTTTTCACACGTCAGCTAGGCCGGGCAGCTAGGCCGGGCAGCTAGGCCGGGCACCGCATGGAGTCACCGAGTTCACTTGATATTATTTCTGTCTTTATATCTTGATATGTGTTGATTATCACTGTATAGATGACACTCTTCCCCCATCCCAACTCCCACAGATTTTATTTGTGGAAATAGTCTGCTATCCTGTCAGTTGGTTACAGTACGAGTTTGAGTCAAAACAAGTCTATAACCTCGGCAAACAGCCTGTGATGATCTTGGTTATGTGCAATCAGCTGTTGAACATTGTCCTGTAGCTGCAACATATGGTTGTCAGTTGCAAATTCCTGGTGGGAACTCTTCCAAGACGCTGAAAGAAAAAGAAAAATCATTTTGAACACCGTTGTTCTTGCCCATTTGAGCTTCCTAAGCCTTCCTGTACTCGTGACGAGGTCTTAATTATCGTATCTAATTGAGTATCTTGTATCTTGTATCTTGTATCTTGGCACCCTCTCTTGTATTTCACAAGGCACTCGATTCAACGAGGTGCGGGGATAATCCCGATTATCTAGAGAAAAAGGAGATTAATGCCGCCTCTAATTCTCTAAATGTTAGTGTTTCGAATCACCAGAATTTTCCGCACATAATCTAACGCTGGTTTCAATAACCCGTGGTTGTCCCCTCTCCAGCTTTCTATTCGTTGTCCCTCCTTATATTTATTATAGCTATCACATTTATATAAATGTTCCATGTCTTCTTTCATATTCTTATTACATCTATTACACATGTCGTCACTAAAGTTATTTTTAAAGTAGCCTTTGAGATCAATCATGCAAGTTTTACATTTAAATGCAAAACACGAATCAGCAAATAATAATTCTTTCATATAATTCTTCAATCCGTATGTTTCAATGTTTATCATATTCATTTTTGTTTTATCTCTAGTTTTCAATTTCTCTATTAATTACTCTTTTTAAGATGGCATCATTGACTTTTTTCCAGGTTCTTTTTGGTTTTAATCCTATGGCTGTAAATGATATTTCCAGTTCGTACTCCTCTAGGATTATTAAAATTTCATTTCCCCAATTTCTTCCTTCCTCTTTGATCTGCTGTATAAATACTCTCTTCATTAATCTATTGTTATCTAGCTTAACTATTTATTGTAGTAGCATTAGATTTTTGCATCCTATTTTATCAGTTATTGGTAAAATTCCTAACTCTATCCTGTGTGCTTCCTGTGGTATTTTACTATGAGCTTTTATTATTTTGCGCAGGCACTCATTTTGGAAATCCTCCAACATTTTAACTTCTTCCTTCGTTAATGCCCCAGTCACACATACACGACGCACGGCCCCGCGCACTGAAAAATCAGCAATTTTTTTTCCATTTTTTTATTAATTTTCATGTGCGGGGCCGTGCGTCGGTGATGTGTGACGTGGGCATAGTTAGTCCATGTTTTCACTATTATTTTAGGAAAGGAAGGTTAAAACTGTGGCCATTCATAATAATTTCACTCTTTGCTTCTATAGTAAGATTTCCATAATTTTGCTCTCTGTCCGCTGCCATAATATTCCTCAATCATCATTAAACCTACATTTTTGCAGTTCGGGCTTCTTATCATGTCCTTTAAACCTCCTTTTAATCATTAATTAAATCCTCTAGATATGAATATTTGGTGTATTTTTTGATTACTTATAGTTGCCTAACTAATATATTTTTCTCTATCCTTTCTTTGTTTGTGTGAATTTTATAACCATTGTAGTTTGTTTATTGTTCATATTAAATTCTAATCTTTTGATTCTGCTAATCTGTTAGCATGCCTGAGCGATTTTTGTAAGCTGTTTTTATAATCATCCAATTTCCAGGAATATCGTCCAATATAATAGGGTGCCGAGTTCTACTGCTGTTTACTATACATGTATCCCGCTTTGTTAAGGCCATTTATGTTGATCCAGAGAGCACGGTACAAGAATGCGTGTGCCGCAAAAGATGCGTTGCTTCCCGACCGCAAAGGCGGTTAAACCGCGCACTTCCGCGGGACTGGCGCACGCGACGCGCGGTGTGTTGTATGTAGTATTTTCGCGGCTGCCCGCTATACAATTCGCGCGCGCGAGAGGGCGGGCACGCGAATCGCTATAGCGGGAAGCGTTAACATCGCGCAGTTTGCGTGCAGCACTACACGCGCTCGGCTACGGCGGGCATTTGCTGCCTGCCTGCTTGCGCTGAGAGGGTCTATTGTCCCCGCGGGGTAGTGCCGGAACGTAACCTGGTTGCGGTTCGGTATACCGGACATACCCTGGCAGCTATGTATATGCCGGACCGTACCTGCGCCTACTGGGCACTAACGAGTTGTTAGGCGAGTCGCTCTGACGCCTACAGGGGTCGAAAAAATTTAGCCGTATTCCGCGATATCCGCGGGATATCCAGATTCTTGTTGCGCGGGATACACTAGATTTCAATGCTTGGTATCCCGGCCGGATAGTAAAAAAAAATCGTCCCACTAATCGGGATAGTGGTGTTGAGTTATCAACTTATTACCGCAGCCGCATCTGAGCGAGTGCGACGAGCGGCGAACGTGCGCGCCCTTCAGTACTAATTTTACTTATGTCACAGCTAGCGTTTTTTATACACGCAGGCATAGCAATAATTTGGCAAGGCGCAAGGGTGGCCGATGATTGATCATAATTGGTGAAAAGATGTGTATACAATTGTATCATGATTGTATCAAGCGAGCCAGACAATGCGTCTATACAATACGTCTGCAGTGTACTGCAGTGTGTGTAGCAGTATATAAACCACTCCTGATATAACACGCTGTCGGATATATCTATGGTAAAATGGAAATGCTCGCGAATGCACTCCAGCGCCACTATGATTAGGCACCTGGGAGCGCAGATTTTTATATAATAATTACATTACATATTAATAATTTTCAATGCTATTATTGCATATTAAGATTTGGATTACCAACATTGTTGAAATTACATATCCAAAAAAATCCGGGATACCAGATCGTTTTGGGGGGATACCAGATTTCAAATAACTGGTATCCCGAATGGATACCATAATAAAAATGCTAATTTCGACCCGCTGTACTCCCTAACCTGACCCGAACACGACCCTAATCCTAACGCCTAACCTATCAAATAGTGACCACAGTACGTTTCCGGTATACCGGACCGTACCCAGGGTACGTTCCGACAGTACCCTGGGGGACATAGACATTATGAGCGCTGCTTGCTTGTTGCGCGCTGCGCGGCAGGGGCGAGTATTTGTTGCTGCGGCTGCTTTGCAGCAGTATCTACAGATTAGCTACGTGTAAAAACTGGCACGCCACGCACCACGTGCTCGCAGTATTCGCCGGCCAGCGAAATTTTTTTTCCCAAACGGTATAACATAGCAAAGAATATAGCGCCTTCTGATTGGTTGCTTCGATTTTCTTATATATATTATATAAGATTATATGTTTATATTTTTATATGAGGTATGTTTAGGGTTAGGGTTAGGGTTAGAGTTAGGGTTAGGGTTAGGGTTAGTGTTAGGGTTAGGGTACACTTCTGTAGTACAAGTCTGGTACACTTTGTGTATACATATATGTACCTCGGGTACACATCTGGGTTCAAGGATAGAGAACATGGGTCCCAATAAAACCAATGTCATTTACATCAATATAAATAAAATATAATATTACATCAATATAATAGGTTAGGGTTATGGTTAGGGTTAGGGTTAGGATTGGGGTTAGGGTTAGAGTTAGGGTTAGGGTTAGGTTTAGGCACATTGCTTTTATTGGGACCCATGTTCTCTATCCTTGGGCCCATATCGGCCGTACCTGTTACGACAACGACCCCTTCAGCACTACTAGAGCTACGACGGTACTATACTAGGCCTAGTACTAGGCTACGACAGTACTTAGAGCTATACGTACTCGTACTCCGTTACGCTAGTAGTAGTATTACTAGTACGTAGTAGTCGTAGTTAGTAGGCCTAGTGTTTAACCCTGAGGTCAGCCGAAACGTAAACTAATCGGACCACGGCACGAACATAAACAGAAATTCGGCAGCTATAAGTTAACTATAAGTATAAGCCTAGACCCTCTCATAACCCAAACGGCATGATATTTGGGTTAATTCACTCAAACCCATGTTGTTTAAAGAAAACATACTAAAACTACTTTAACCTCACTTACAGAAAAGTTCGGGAAAGTTTTTTGTAGAAATGGGGATTTGGCTACAAGCATGGAGGATACATCTTGCCAAATTCCAGCCAATGAAAAGGCGCCTAAATCCTTTCTTCCGTTTGGGGAAAAACATTTCGCCGCCGGCCACGCCAGCGTATGTGGTCGCACGACGTGTCGTTGCCACGGGCAGCGCGGGGTCGGGAGGGTTGCTCAAAATATGTCACGTATGCAGCCAGGCGCCGTAACGGCGGCATCGCATTTGCAGATAGACCGCGCCCCCCCACGTGGAGCGCCGTACGACACTTCGTAAAAAGCTTTGTGATAGACAAAACTCTATACTCGGCAGTAGTGCCAGTCATCGCGTAGCGGCCAACGACGCGGTCAGACGCGCAATGGCGTCATCGCTGATTGACAGCATTTCTTGAGCGTTTCTTGTAGGCAGTCACTACGTCTTAGCCATGAGGCGCGCCACCCCAAAAAACGTTTAGGGGCCGTTGGAGATGGCCTACTGCTTGCTCATGCAAATGTCGTTGGATTGCCGCGCCCAGTTTTCGCGTATGCGTTTTCAGACCCGCTGTCTCAAATATCTGTTCTAACAGTGGACAAAAAGGGGCCGGCGTCATTAGCTGGGGCGCGGCTTCGCCGCGAGCTGTGCCGCTGCGCGCAAAACCGGGCGCAAGCTCCGTCCAGAGTCATACAGCATAGGACTGGTCTTAATATTGTTCCTGTCTAACTAATTTTTCTTGTTATGAAAAATTTTCTGTTTCCCTACTGGTGTTTTTATGTTAATAATTGCTTTTTCATTGATTTTGAAAATTATCTCCCAGCATGGTCCCTTCAATCCTCTAAACCATAGTTCCACAATTGTGTCCTTTAGCCACAGGCTATCAAAACATTTTTGAATATCCCCAAATAGTATAGTGACGTCTTTCTTTTGTTCCCGGTGTTTGTCAATAATCCCTCTTGGTACAAATAAGTGGTCAGTTGTGCTAAATCCCTTTTTCCTCCGCCCCCCCCATTGATTTTGCAGTATCCATAATTTTTGTTTGCATTTCCAGATTAATTTGTGAGAGTGAAACTTCCACTTAGACTACTATACTCGATGCACCCATGGAACAGACTAACTTATAGACATAGAGTCAATATAGTTTGTTTATGTTTTAATGCTGACTATTATTAGGGCTCCGTCATAGATATATATAGGAATTTAGAATACAGATCTGTAGTACAATCTATAGTATAGACAATCTTAGCTCTAGTAACTATAGCCCGCGTACAGTGGCCGCTGGCAGCTGCCAGCGGCAACTGTACGCGGCTATAGTTACGCTCATAGCGGTCCTAGTGTCCCTTAGGTACTGCCGGGAACACCCCTGGGTACGGGTCCCGGTATACCGGAACGTACCCTAATAACATTTGATATGTTAGGGTTAGGGTTAGCGTTATAGGGTTAGGGTTAGGTTAGGATTAGGGTTAGGGAGTAGCGTAGGCGACTCCTCGTTAGTGGAGTAGGCGAGGTACGGTGCGGCATATTATTATTAGATAGTACCAGGGTACGTTCCGGCAGTACCCTGCAGGAGGACATAGACCCTCTCAGCTATATTACACTACTAGAGCTAAGTCAGACAAATTCAATCTATGACTGTCACTATGGCTCATAGGGTCCTATGTCCTCCAGGGTATACGTGGCCGGAACGGTACCCTGGGTACGCCGTCCGGTATACCGGAACGTACCCTGTGTCACTATTTGATATGGTTAGGGTTAGGATTAAGGGTTAGGCGTTAGGTTGCGGCGTTAGGGTTAGGTAGTAGGCGTGGCGCGACTCCCTAGACCGTTAGTGGAGTTAGGCGACGGCTACGGTCCAGCATTATTAGATAGTGCCAGGGTACGTTCCGGTATACCGGACCGTACCAGGGTATACGCTTCTGGCAGTACCCCGGGGGACATATAGACCCTCTCAGCGTCACTGTGCTTATGCCTTATGCCTTAATAGCATAATACCCTTATGGAAAGTTATGGGACTTATGCCGTTATTATGGTCTGATGTCCCTGGGCCGTTCTATCAGTATCAGTATCAACTTGAACTGCGAACTTGCTTAGCGGACAGCGTGACCATAGTCCGAGGCCGCGCCAGACCGCCCAGTAATGTCAGATAAAACCCGGCACCCAGATTAGGCAAAGCGGAGTTTCCGGTCTGCCATTTGCGCACTAAAGGTGACACTGATATTCAATATACGTTCATGTCGAAATCTACCGATTAACCTACTGATTAAAGTGTAAAATTCGTCCTGTTCTTCCATCAATATATTCATGTTTCGCAATTGTAATGGCGTATATTTGTAGGAAAAGCAGCCTAGTAGCTACTAATACATCTGGGTACTAGTAGTAGTAATATACAGTTTTCAATCGTGGCGCTTTTTGCAGACCCTCAATACTTCCGGTGCAATTAGCTGAATTTACAGTAGAGGGCGGTCTAACCGGTCCTGCTAATCACCGAAATCACATAAAATGAATGGCAATAGTAATTATAATTGGCTCGAAATCACTCGTAATGATTCGAAATTGCACGTGGTACATATTACAATTATTGTTGCGCGTGTGCGTGTGACATTAAACACTTGTGCACGTGTGCACGTACACGTGTGGTGCGTCAGGGCGTAGCTACGGGGGGGCCTGGGGGGCACGTGCCCCCCCACAAATTTGCTGTGCCCCAGTGCCCCCCCCCCACTGAAAATTGATGTTTCATAAAAAAAAATTGAATTAAAAACAATGCCGTTAGAACAGTATAATACAAAGAAAGTTGTATATTGTGCCCCCCCCCCCCGAAAATGTAAGGCCCCCCCAGTGCCCCCCACTGAAAAATCCTAGCTACTCCACTGGCGTGTGCGTGCGTATACTATATGCACACCACGTGTGCGTGCGTGCGTATATGCACGTGTGCGCGTGCGTGAGTGTGCACGTTCACGTGCGTGCGTGTGCACCACTGATCTCTATAATATAATCAGGAGTAGATAATAGAAGATCTTCTATTATCTACTCCTGATATTAAATCTATAATTATATTATAGAGATCAGTGGTGTTCCCGTACATGTGCGTGCGTTGCGTGTGTGTGCACGTGTGCACGTGGCTTTTTGCATTTTTAATGTGTCATACTGTGATTCTGAAATATTTAAATAACATATTAAAATTAGAAACGTTAGAAAATATAATTATAAATGAACAAATAAGATGAAAAACAATAATTTTTCACACGTCAGCTAGGCCGGGCAGCTAGGCGGGCAGCTAGGGCGGGCACGCATGGAGTCACGAGTTCACTTGATATTATTTCTGTCTTTATATCTTGATATGTGTTGATTATCACTGTCTTTGATATTATCAAGAGTACATAATAGAGATTATACTATAAATTATGTAATCTTGATATTATTTATTTCATAGATAGGGTC